CCCGCCGCGCGGGGGGTGACTGTGGGCCAGTCACTCTCTCTTAGCCCATGCCACCTCACAGGGTTGTTGTTGTGGGAAAATAGGAAGTGGGAGTGTTAAGTTTGTTTACTGCCTTGAGTTGATCCCCCCCAAAAAGGCAGGATAAGCATCTAATAATAACGATGATGATGTTGGCTTCCAGAAAGATAGCTGCCAAGGGGATCTGGGCTGCAGCCATCACCAAAAAATGGTAGAAAAAAGCCAGTTTCAAAGAAAAGGAGAGAAAGGAAGGACCCATTGCAATCCAAATCTTTAGTTGCAATTACATGGTATCTATTTGCACATTCAAAAATGTACTCATTAAATGTATGTCCTTAAAGTCGAATCTAGTTTTCCCCTTCAGAAAATTTATATAGCCTACTGTGCCTTGCATACATTACAGCAAGATATAAACCAGATGAGTGAATGAAAAATGCATGACTTTTTAAAAAGGCAGTGGAGAGGAAAATTGAAGTCAATATTGATTTTTTTTCTCTTTTTTTCTCACTTAACAGAGATCCAAGAAACCTGTTGCCATTGCGGAGGACAAATGATCCAGAATCCAGTGAACAGGCTGGACTAACAGGTGCCTACATGTCACTTTTCTGTAAAAACTATAGCTAGTTTTCACTTTTTCTTTTTTCTTTTCCTCTTCCAAATTCCCTGATTGGGCTGCATCTCAGCAATAGCTAAGATAGCTGTTATTAGCAGAAGGAAGTCAGAAATCCTTGTCAATTTAGTACAATTCGCGCAGCTCTACCAGTAATGTCGATTTATTTTCTGCCCACTTCTTTGGCTGACAGAAGCTCTTCAGGATTTTAGACAAGAGCTCTCCTGGGATTTGGAATTGTTCAAGTCTTCATATGAGGTTGCTCTAAATGTAAAGTGAATGCTTTCCTTTAACCCGAATGCATGTTTGTTTGGAGAGTTGACTTTTCATCCCCACACCATCACTGCCCAGAAAGTCAGGTAGCCACAAGGACGCCTGTTTTCAACAAAAGGTTGGCTTCTTTTCTCGCCAATGTCAATTTTACATTGGACAATAGTTATCTAATCTGATTGGACAACACACCCTGTTCTTACAAACAAATTCCTAGAAGAAACTATAATGGAAGGCCATCCCGTGGGCACCAGCAGAAGCAGCCTGCAGCCTGAGGTGAAATGTTATGACATATTCCCTACAGCTCCATGCCATGAGAAACTTCCCAGGGGTAGTGCTAACTTGGTTTCTTTTCTTTTGGAGATGATATCCCTAGAAACTTACCCCATTGGAAGGTTGCATTCAACCATGATGCTAAGAATGCTGTCTTAATTGTAATCAAATTGTATGTTGGTGTCCATTGGCCAGTGGCTTGGCTCGGCTTGGCTGTTGGCTCCTCTTGCCCCTGGGAGTGACAGAACAAACCACAAAAACTCCTTGCATGGTTTATCACCATCACATCCAAATCAGAGCCTCTCCCAAACAAACCAGGAATTAGAAGCTAATAGCAAACTATAGTTTCTGGGATTTAAGGAAAGGAGTAGGCCAGTGCTCTTATTCAGGTGTCATGATCAGCAAACAGCAGGAGGAGGTTCTCCAAGTCTATTCATCCAGTCCCATCAACGGGAGTGGCACCAAGGAGGAGCCAAATAGAAATGCTGCTTGCTTAATGTGTTACACGAACATGGTCACTATTTTGTAATCATTGTTTGGTTTTTTAAACTGCTGTTTGAACAAAACACATAACCCAGTCAGCTACTAACCAAGTTGTAGCTCCTTGTGAGTGGTTCTGGCAACACACCCTAACAGGTCCAAGGACCTCACTTCTGAGAAGTACAAAATCTACTTCCTTCAGTCTCACCTGGTCTCTTGGGAGCCCTTGTCTCTCAGGAGAGTAATGGCAAGCATTGTTACGTCGCTGCCTCCCATTAGCTCAGGAGGCGTGGTTAAGTAACGTTTTGGAGGTATGTTTTGTGATATCAGGCCTTGGCAGTAAGTTCAATAATGACGTGCGTTTTCGGACTTCTGTGTCCACCCCTTCTTTCCTCCAATGACTGACCGGGCACAATCGTGAAACTGCCCCTACTTTGATGGGTTTTGGTGTTTGCATGGCACAGCTTAGTGGAGAAGGATGTTTACACCAAACAATCTCATGGTTGTTTAGGCGTACAATTAACCATCTCCTGCCCCACTGTTGTGGTTTGTGGTTGTGGTTCACCTTCTATAGTCACCTCTCCTTTGATCTAATGAAATGTGTGGTGTGAACCCAGCTTTTCAGTAGGATAAAAATGAAGGCAACAAGTAAAGTTAGTGTTGGAATGGAGCTGGGCAGATCCAGGTTTTTGTTAATTCTCTACCACAGAATGTCATTTAATGACTTGTGGCTGGCCCCTGTCTCTCAGCTCAACTTAGACATTTATACAGTTACTGTTGCAGAGGTAAAGTTGGGGGAGATCGTCCAATGCAGTTTGAGGAAAAGCAGAATTTTATGCAATTATAGCAGGAAAAAATTCAATCGACTGCTGATGCCGCACAGAACTAGCACTGAGCATCGCTTGGAGATAGGAGACCCTGTGGGGATCACATGTAAACCCATGGATGCTTATGGAAAGAAGCATAATGTACAAACATAGCAAATAGATAATAGTAAAGAATAAGGCCCATCAACATCAAGAATTCTGAAGGCCTCTGGTTAAGGATTGGCTGCTCAGTAGACAAATAAAACAGCTGGGGCAAAGGGAAATGCTTGGCATTGTACCAGTTGGATGGGCGATAGTTCTAGAATAAATAGATGGATGTTTGACGGACAGTGCAACTTTCAATTCCAAAACGGTTGAGTTGAAAACTGTTGGGTTCAGTACCCTGGAAAACCAAAGGATTTATTGGAATGATTGGAGAGGATAGGGAACAGGAGGGGGAGGAAAACCCATGACTCACAAAATGCTGCTGAACAATAATTCCCAGAATTTCTGCCCTTATTTATTTATTGGCCACATTTCTAACCCACCACAATCCAGAGATTCTCGGCAGCTTACACAAAGTATAAAATCAAAGAAAAATCTGTGGTAATAGCAATCATAAAAAACAACTAAACAACCTAAAGAAAACCCTACAACATGCAATAAAAATAGAGAATAAAGATAGCCTGAGGGAGGTTAGCCATTCCTTTTGGGGCTGCTGGTACTTCAGCAACAACTTGAGGACTGCAGATCCCCCACCCTTCAGGCTAGAGGGAGCTCTGTGTGGCCCTGGTAAACCACAGCGACACCAAAACGATGACTTATGCGCAGTGATGTCATCATGCAAATGCTGCCATTAGATGGTTGTGTTCTGACCTCCGACACAAATATGTAAGGTGTGGCATTTCCATGATGATGATCACTCAGGTCTTGTCCTTTGCCTGCCCTTGGCTGCAATTTCCTCCTATCTCTTTGTGTGCACGCGTGTGCGTGCGTGTGCATGCGTGTGCATGTGCATGCGCCTTCAAGTAATTCTTGACTCTCGCCAACTGCTTGGATGAGTCCCTGCAGTTTTTTGGCAAGATTTCAGAAGTGATTTGTCACTGCTCTCTTCCTAGGGCTGGGAGAGACTGACTGACCCAAGGTCACCTAACAGAACTTGTGCCTAAGGCGGGACTAGAACTCACAATCTCCTGCTTTCTAACTTAGTGCCTTAACCACTACACCAAACTGGCATTTCCTACTTATTTACTTCTAAGTAATTTGCCTAGCATCAGGCTTGAGGGTAGTGCCCCTCATGAGCCTTGTTTGATCCTACATCATGAATTTACCTGACAGCCATGGCAAGTTTCTGTGGGCTGCTGTTTAAAATATCGAGCACTTGACATAATATTATTTTGGAGGACCTGAACTCCTGTACTTGAAGTCTGAAGGTGGATTTTGTAATCTGCTTGCCAAGACTTGGTACCTCTGTGTCTCTTTTAGAGAAAATTGCCATTCAAGGAGATGGCTTTTATTGTTCAGTGCTGCCCTTGAAAACTGGTTTAAGAACAACATTCCAGGTAGTGGTAAAATTGCCCACCTGAAGCACACAGATCATGAAATGTCCCTTCCCATTCATGCCCCAACTTCACAAGCAATGCAGAGTTTCAATGATCCTATTAAAATTATTTTAGCCAATGTTATAGTCCTTATAATATAGAATATTTTATTCTATTGCTACTTATTTGCCACCATTTTGTTTCTCTTGTTTTACAGATCCTGTGGAAACGGGTAATTTATGCTAATGGTC